CCCAAGCCGCGACTTCGTCCGAACAATCTGCTGCAACCTCTTATCTTCTCCATGGCACACCCCAACCCGATGTTCTGGTTCCGCAGCCAGCAGACATCTGTCCGGCAGGGTAGACGGAACCATGGCCCTCAGCCCCCAAACTTTTCAGGCAGCAGCGTCAAAAGCTTCATGAGATGCCTCATTCAAAGGCCGCCAGTGACTGGGAGCCTTGGACGAAACTGGAGTAACCGGAGTTGCTGATGTATCTGACTGTGTCAGCAGCGGACACAGACAGACGAGAGCCGCGCGCGCGATCTTCCTTCATGGAGGCATGCCTGGGTGGTCCGTGGCACACTCCACTGGAAGCCAGCATGGGCGCTAGTCTTGCCCTTGCACCAAAACACGATGACAGCTACCATAGGACCTCGAGATTGCAAAACCGAATTACGCCAAAAATCATACAGAATGCTGCAAAAAGAAGCGGCCAATGGTCGTGAACCGTAGTGCAGTCAAGCACCCCAAGAAGATGGGTAACCATCGGCTCCAGTGGGGCCGCTTGGGCCTGGGCCTGCCAATGGCCCAACCGGGCACTGCGCGGGTTGCGGCTTGGCAGTCTCAGAAAGGTCCAGTGACACCCGCAAGTTGCGAATCATCCAGCCCAGCGAAGCATACACCCGTGCAGGGCCACGATGCTCCCCCTCACAGGTCGCAAGGGAATGAGCGTCCGGCCGGACGTCAAGCCAGCACGGTCCAAGAACCGGGCCAAGTGTGCACCACACCCTTGATGGTAGCCAGCTCAGTGCGCTCACACAACTTCTCCAGGCGCGTAGTCCAGTGTGCCATGCACTCTTGGTCGCGACCAGGAGGCGGTGGCAAAAGCGTGGCCAACGATGCCCAAAAAAATCGCGCAAGAAGAGAGTGGGTGCTGCCGTTCGCACCACCCGGCACTGACCGTGGCCTGACTGGTCCTGGGCGCAGGAGCAGCAGCAGCAGGAGGGGCAAGCGCCACAGCGGGGCGTGGGGGGCGACTTTGGCTCACCCCCTCCCTGCGGAACAAGTCCCGCACCAAGGATCCAGCCCCAAGCTCCGCCTCACGGTGAGCCAACTCCCAACCATCGGCAACTGCGCGGCCGCCTCGCGCAAGGAAGTAAAAAAGAAGGACAAGTCACTGGACTTCTCAATGCCCAATCATCCAGCTTCTGCTGCTCCACTGCACGCACTCCCACTTTTGGCTTGGGCCACAAGTTAGGGAGTGCAACAATGACTTTCTTCGAATATAATTCATCATCGCCGACCCTGCCTACCTTGAATGCTTGAATATATATATATATATATAGTTAGTTATAGTTATATATAAATTAGCTTCAAAAAGTTGGGCGCAAATGTAAACAGGCAGGCCAAGCATCTTGCTGGGAATCTTGGAGGATATTATGATTAGGCCACGCAGCCGAAACCACTTGTGAAGGGGACTCCAGGTGCGACAGGAAACACCACGAAACCAAGGACTGGTTTTTGAATCCAAGCAACGGTCGCGTCGATGCAACCGATCCCCACGTCGGAAGTAATCAGGGTCATCGACCAGCCTTTCGGCATGAATCTGCAACCCGACCTCTGCGTCACTCTCTGAGAGGTTGCAAAGAGATCCACAGCTCCAGGTTGGCACAATCAGTGCAATAAGTAGTCGCGCCACAAATGTCATAAAAACGAATCACGACGAAATTACAAGAAGTTTGTACAAAAGGGTTTGGAGCGCTGAGAGGCCAAAATGGCTGCAAACTGCTGGCTGTACTGTCCATTATGTCAATCTTGGGGCATGCCACACGCTACCACTACTGTTGTGCTTCTTTCAAGCTAAACGAAAAACGCCCGATCTTTGGTGGCTTGCAAATGTGCCAGAGCGAAACCAACTGGAAAAGATCGACGGTCTATGGGGTTCTGGCAATGTTGGAGCAGGCGAGAATACCGCCGTAGTATCAAAACTCCCTCAAGTGGGGATCATTCAGGTCCTGGATGCACACTCAAGGTGGACTGCCATTGTCGGGACGAAGACATAGTGAACGACACAAGTCCTGACAAAGGCGACGTGTCCGTCTACCTGGATTGTTTCTGAACTTCACCAGCGCTCCAAGCCAAAACTGCTGCACCTATACATACATGCCTGGAAAATGCTTGAAATGACTCTTGGCAGCCTTGGAGAACGGAGTTGTACATAACAGGTTCCGGCGGGTGGACACGATTTGCATGACAGTCCTTATACAATCCAGTCGGTGAACAAAGCACGTGGAGGAACTGCGTATAGACAGGCACGCACTGTGACTGCCATGGCTTGAGCACACCAACTCCTGCATGATTAGTCAGATAATTGAGTGGGGGTCACTCACATCATGTGCAGTCTGGTGTGTTTGCGATCACATACGTGGAGGCCAAGGATGGCAAAGGATTGCAAAAGATATGAAAAGTATGCAGTTTGTGCACGCCAACGATTCTTGGACATGATGCGTCATTCCTTGATGGGTCTTGAACCACCAATCAAGAAATCAAGAATCGGGCCGGTTGGGAGGGCTCAAAGCAAGAGATTCTCAACCCTATCCTTAAGAATCATGGCATCGTAACTGCGAAGGTGCCATAGCGCGCGCTATGTGTGAAGCACCATTGCCAATCTTGGTGGCAAAATAGTTTCTCATACACCTACACCAGGCAAGTTCCAGCACTGCCGGCGGGCGGAACTTACCTACCCTTCTGCGGCAAATCTCTACTTCATCAAAGCGATTGAAAACAAATCTGTTCGCAATCTCTACTTTTTGACTCTTTTCTTCAGAAGTTATATATATATACTTTCAAGCACTTTGTTCTAGCAAATTTGTTCTAACTTTTCTGTACGAAGTCCTTCGTCTCTAGAATTCCCTGCTGGTCAATTCTTTCCTATAAAAGCTCTACTTTTCAATACATTTCTCTAGAGATCTCCGCCGCCAATCGGCTCCATTTATATACTGTAGAAGTCTCTATCTTGCATCCCTGGCAATTCGTTTCGCAACCTCCAATTACAATCCCCTGTGGAGCTGCGACACCAAAATGCAGCGGCATGTACCGCGCAGCTGCCTTTCACTCCCACAAAGACCTGCGATCCCAAAACCCCTGCACATGTGACCAGCCACGCCGTCGCCCGTGAGACATCTGTCCTTCCTATTCTTGCGCGCTCATTAACGCACGTGCCCGAGCATGCGCAACCAGCGCATCTCTCTCTAACTCCGAACAATCTCATCAAGATGAAGGACAAAGAGGTTCCATGGAAGCGGAGACCTGTGAACGGGAAAGCGCTTAAGCTAGACTGCAGCTAGACTGAACGCATGCTCCCCCTTCTACAAAGCAGGCGACAACGAGGGTCAGGGCCCTTTTGGGGGCCCTCGTATTTAACACAAGGAACTCAGCGAGCAAGGTGCCCGGGTGTTGCCTTGCTGTGCTTGTTGTGGGTAGCAGCACCCATGGCCATGCCAAGGTTGCATTCGCAGGGCGCAGCTGGTGGGGCATGTTGTTCTTGGCCTTCTTTGTTTGAAGCGGAAAAGGGACGATCACCTACACCACCAACTTTGTACTGAGAAGTGGATATCAGGTGATATTACTCATGGCCTCCAACCTACTAGCGATGGCCTCCAACCTGCTTAGCAATGGCCTCCAACCCAATAGTAATGGCCTCCAACCTACTAGCAATGGCCTCCAACCAAATTACAACTTAGGGCGAGGAGTTCTTCACCCACCCTCCACCCTATATAGGACAGCAACTCTTTTTGCCTTTGGGTAGCTGGTAGCTGTTCGTCCTGTCTCACCCATTGCCCATCTTCTACAGATCAATGGATTGCGCCAACTTCCAACCTCCTCTGACTTTGTCGCGCCCTGCTTCCAAGTCTCTGCACTTCATGCATTCCTTTGCTTTGCCTTGGTGAGCTCCACTCTCACGTGGTACCGGGCGAATGGCCAGCCGCAGGTCGTCTTCCACTTGTCCAGCGGAACACCCCACCCCGCGTTGGCCACTGTGTGCCTGACCTTGCCTTTCGCTGAGGTAGACACTGCGAAGAGCTGGGACTTGTCAATGGGCGGTTCTAGGGGCATGTGGTTCGCGATATTCTCCGGCTCGGGCTGTACCTCGTGAGGCTGTTCAGACTCTTTCTCTTCTTCTCCTGTTTCACCTCATCGATGTTCGCCTGGACGGGCAGTACCTCCTTCGATACTGCCGTTGCTCTGTCTGTTGCTCGGGCTCTGTTCAAGGGCATCTCTTCCAGGGTGTCCTCTATGTATCTTAACACTGCTGACGACTTCCACCTGCCCAGGAACGAGATGTCATAGATTCCTCGTGTACATCATAGCTCCCGATCTCCTGGCCGAGTGCCCTGACATCCTCGGGTTGAGGTTGTTCTGCCAGGCTCTCACCAACTGTTCTTTAGAGACTTGGGCGCCAGTGTATGTGGGGAAGAGGGGGCTTTCCTTGTCCTTGAGGCAGCTGAGGGCCCTGACGGCTAGGTTCCACGGACACAAAACGTCGCAATGTCTTTCCCCGCAGCATTGCAGTGTTCTCCATGCTCCCTTAGCCTGCTGGTCCATCTTCGACTTCGGGATGAAGAGCCGCACCTCCTTCCTCTTCCAATTCAAGCACACGTGCTTGGCTTTCACAACTGCCGCCTCCGCCGCTCTCAACATCCAGTGGGTAGCCCACGCATAGGACCATCTTTCATAGGTAAGCCGGCCTCCACACGCCACAACTTGAGCTCTGCCACGTACTGGTCCGCGGACTGCATGTTGGTTTGATCCAATAAGGCCGACACTTGTGCTAGCGCTTCCTCAGAAACCGGTGCTCAGAAACCGGCGGGCCCTCCAGTCCGATCACGTTCAACAGCTGTCCGATCTTGCGTCGCTTCGACCTTTTACTCAGCCAAGTTGACGTCGCATGGAACTTTATCACGAATCGGTTCGCCGTCGCTTTGATCCAACTCTTCGATTGAGCTCTCGCCGCCGCGTCCTCTATGGTCATGGCCGCCTTAGACTTGCGTGCTCGAGCATCTGGTCCAACACGCCTCCCGGTCTCCTCGTCCTCAAGAATCTCTCCCTCGTTCCGCCAAAGAATCAGCTAACCTCTTATTATTCGTGACAAACCTCCACGGCTTTCGAGCGGGTTTGTTGTCCTTGGCAGTGATTCCTACGGTGCAGCCATCGAAAGTGGCAGACAGCAGTTGCCTTTCTGTGATCCAGGAAGCTAGAGGTTCACTCATCCACCCTGAACAATACCTTGGCCACTCAAAAGGCACAAAACCACCATTATCAAGAACATGGTTTGCAACCCTGATGAACGAATGCATCATTGAAACACTTTCCCTACGCTTCTCTCGAAGGATGTTGGACAATCTTGGGTTCTTTGCTTCATTCAACCTTTGCCAAGCACTCCAGGGGCCACACTCAATGGAACCATGGATTGAACAACCAGGGATGGCTTTCACTTGCTCAACAAGTTGGTCGATGTTTGCTTTACTTGCAAGATCTATGTGTTCCTTACAAAGTCTTACAACTTGAACTCCAAGCTCCTCACCAATCCTACCGAGCGCTGAGTCTGAAGCACAGGCAAATTCAAACAAAATCTTGCCACCTGGGGAACTGTGGATCTGGCTGTGTAGACGCTCAGGCTTTGCAGCTGCTCCTAGACAGCTCTCATTGCTTGCAGCGACTGCTGATGCATACGTTTCTTGAACAATCGTTTCTGGAGCTTTCTTGGAAATGGCATCATGAGACATGGCAAGGACGGCATTAATGCCTGCACGGACACGAGCTTCATCACCCTCAGGTTCATCTTCATCATCAGAGGGCGGAGGACATTCTGGGACAATCTCCTCTTCATCCTCTTCGGCCTCTGACAAGACAGTTGGGGTGTACTCTTCGTCAATCAAGTCTCCTAGGATCTCCGGCATTTCGAAGGTCGGAGGCTCGGGTGCTGGGGTCGAAGGAGCAGCACCGAATGCTTCCTCATATCGGGCAATGCATTCGGCATTGTGTGCAGACGAATCAGCATCACAACCTTTGCATCCCTTGGTCGGGCCGATCTTCAGCATCCTACTGTACGTGATGTAAACTCTGCGTGCTTTAGACTTAGTCTCTGGGGTATCTTCGATGAAAGGAATTGGCAGAGGATCCACGTCAGCGAGTTGACGAACATCAGGATCCGAGAAGTCATTCAATGCCTTCTCTGCAAGATCTCTCAACGGAAACACACGCTCATCACGAACATAAACCTCTTGATCCGGGGCGACCACAACGGAAACATGACCTTGCTTCAAGGAGTTGTAATCCACAAGTCTCAAAACACCTTTGTACCGACACCCAAACTCAAGCTTCCAACCTCCCATTAGGGCTGGTGAAGAATTGGGGGCGAGTTTTGACTTCTCTTGAAACTTTGTTCTATAGAAAACCAACTGACCCAAAATGTAATCTGCACCTTTGAACTCAGAACCAAAAGCCTTTGACCAATGCTCGATGCTCATGGAAACAGCTGTGTACTGGCATGTCATGGTCCAAAGCTTTGGGAACACAGCGAATCCTGCTTGCAAGTGCATGCTTCTGCAAGACTCTTCAAAGGACCTGATTTGTCTTTCAAGTACACTGTTGTGAGGCCATCTCCTAGGCAATGATGCGTCTGACAACCAACCGAGTGAACGAATGGCTTTCAGAAGCTCCTTGGCACAGTCTGACTTACAAATGGTTTGAGGGTTCTTGGCCTTTACACCCACAAAATGGTTCAGGGCTTCCTTGACCGAATCAGTATCTTTTGTTGCCAGAGGGTATGCTTGGAAAACTTTGCTGAACAAGTCCATCACCACAAGAACAACAAATTCCTTCCCCGACGAAGATTTTGAAACGATCATGTGATCACAGGCAATTTGCTGGCCGAACGCTTCAGGAACAGGAAGATCACTCTCTTCGACTGCTCTACGATGGGATCTGATGCGTTTTGAGTACAACCTAGCACGATTGCAAACATCACAAAGTGCGGACTTAGGGAAATGTGTCATGCAATGCTTGGTGGACAGTGCAAGTTCCCGTTCACGCACGAACTTCTCAGACTCAGGAACCTTTGGCAAAGCCTCACCTGGAGCAACGCCACGAATGTCGTCTGCAACTGAATGCGGAATCGCACCTTCAGGACACCGGACCTCGGGTTCTGCTTCAACAGGTTCCACCTCACCTGGTACGCCTGGAATGAAATCAAATGATCTGGAGAAATATGGTACATACTGATCAACCCTCGATGCTCGAATCAAATTGCTTTCATCCGTTTGGAACTGGAATTGATTGCAGGCTTTTATATAGCATGGGAGTTGATTGGGCAACCACAAAAACCCCATACCATCGCTGACATCAAGACCGACAGACCGGACAAACGGGCATGAGTCAAGCGCGAAGTGATTTGCCTCTTGAAAGATGCCTTCACGATCCCTGAGACCGATTGCATCGCTCGAATCTCTCTTTCCTCCACCTGTCGAAAACCTTAGGCTCTCATGTGAAGGGAGCTGGAACTGGCTGAACATCTCTGGAGACACTCCCTGCCTTTCTAAACTCTGCGGAGAGACAAGATGTCGACCAGCACCTGTACCTGCAGCAAACTCCAAACGACCTTCAACTGGCATGGCCATCGATGAGAGGGCAGCAACAATGGCAACAGCAGCCATTGCCTTGGCTTTCGGCTTCGGCTGGGCCTTCGGCTTAGCCGTTGCTTCGGCTTTGGCATCAGGCTTGACCTTCTCGTGCAAGTACGCGCATGAACTGCCGCGCACACAACCAGAAGGCATTTGGAAGAACACGCAAGGCGTTTTCGCCTTGTCTTCCTTGCTCAAACCCTTGCCTTTACCTTTTCCCTTCTCACCTTTGCCTTTATCACCTTTGCCACTTTTACCCTTAGGGTCATTCTTGGGCGACGAAGGATCAGCTGGGGCCGCCGGTGTCTCCTTAGGAGGTGGTGGCGGAACTGCGGCAGCATTGGCAGGGTTTGCAAGAGGATTCGACTTCTCCTTTGGATCTTTCCTCCACGACTTTGGCTTCAACGAAAGCTCTATGGACCTAGCATTGGTGTCTTCCCTTTCCTCAACGAGGTGCTCCTGCAATCTTCCCCAAAGGAAGTCGAAATCACGAAGTTCCGAGCTGTATGCGGAGCGTTTGATCTCGTCGATGGTCCTTTCAAGCTTTCGAACATTTCTCAACCGATGGAACAACCATTCACCTAACATTCTCTGATTCGGCCAGTCGGCAGGGTCAATGGAGTTCAAGGTCACTTCATGACTGTACCGCTAAACTCCTGGAGATCTTTCAACGAAAAACCATTGAGTTCCACCTGGAAGATGCTTTGCGATGTGAGCAATGAACCACGAGTACGATCGAGATCGAAATGTCGAGCAATCATGTACAAGATCATCCTACCCCGAGGGACTGTGGACTGACGAGTGCAACGCTCAACATACCCCTGGACTTTGAACAACAACTCAGGGCTTGACCGCACATTCTTGAGAAGCTCAGACGCAAGCCACCTATCAAACCTTGGGATCAGGCCTGATGAACTCTGGCATTCTTTCTCCTGACCTACCTCGAAAGCCGTTGCAGACTCTGAGGGACCACTTCCAGTTTGGTGTGCAACAAAGCTCTAGAATCAACAATCTCCCTTTCTGAGGCATGTGAGGGCGATTCTGAAATCAACTCCTCTTCATCGTCGTCCGACCCTTCACCCCCCTGATCGATTGGATCGGGCGGACCTCCGGGAAAGCCTTTGCCAACACGAAGTCCACGAGAAGGTCCTACAGGAGGCGAGGATGAATGGACAACTGTGTCATGCGAACGATCGAACAAAGGTCGAGGCTCACGATTTAGATCCGTGCTATTTCGGCTTGATTCAAGTGTCAACATTCTGGAACTGAGTGACTGAACAGCTTCCATGATTGACTCCAACATTCTATTGCCTCCTTCGGTGTCCTTGGGCGAAGATGCATCAGGCACAGGCTTCGGAACGAAAGCAGGCGCAGGCGACTGGATGACCGCGGCGCTTGAAGCAGCCAGTCGGGCCTCCAGCGATGAGATGCGATCTTGTCGAGACGAAGACTCTTGGCAAAGACGCTGGATTTCTGAATCTTTATGGCCTAAAAGGTTGCGGGACTTTTGGTTGAGGTCGGACAAACGGTCGATCTCGTCCTTCGCTTTGCGAAGTTGGCCCTCAAACATGGACTGATTGAATTTGATCTGGTTCTCAAGGGTTTGCTTTACCTCTTGGACCGCTTCATGCAAGCTGGTGATCATGACATCTTTCTCGGTGTGACCTGTTTGGAGCATTTCGTTCTGACTACGGAGTTCTTCGACCAGGGATGTCAGGTAACCGATGTGAGCTGTGGCTTCCTGGAAGACTTGTTGAGCGACACCTTCGAAGTGCGAAGCCCTAGAGTCCGCTTCCCCGATCAGTCGTTGAGACTCAGCTACAACACGACCGAACTCTGCATGATCGATACCAACATATGCCACCTGGACCGTGTTAAAAGACCGGGCGTCATGAAGGTGCAGTTCTTGTGTCAAGCTAGTTTGATTAGGCATGACTTCATCTTCCTCTCCGGTACCCTGGAACTCGGATGGACCAACCGACCGCTGGAGCAACCCACTGGACGAAGGCAAAGACCGAAGGTCAGTGAGCGCAGGAATGGATGGTTCAACCACTGATGACCCCTCTGCTTGAACCTGAGACTGAGTACCTTTGGGCATGTTTTTGATGACTCTGCTCAAAGATCTCTTTGGAGGTTTTGATCTCCTTCCCTCTTGGGGTGTTCCGGAACCATGGGAGGATTGGGACCTGCTCCGAACTGCAACTGCCAAACCACCAACAGTAGTATCTGAACTGACATTCAACGATGAAGATTGCTCTTCTGACATGGTTCACTGGCCGACTATTCAGACTCTCCCAATCCCTTCTTTCTTTTTGGCGGGAACGAATGCACAATTGGCACAGGCTCTTTTCGGGAA